AGGTCTGGTGTGCCACCTTTACTTCTCAGGAGAGCAGATAGATAGATCCCTTATAGCTGAAGCCACTGCATGAGCTTAGGCCTTCTGCGTGGGGCTAGCTCTCTGCCTGGGACACAGTCACTGAGGCCCCTCACCTAGACTCTGGCACCTCTTTGAGTCTTCCACCCTCCAGAACTGTGAGGGATGCAAGCCTCTTTACTTAGTAAAGTTCCTAGGTGGGGGCATTTGTCAGCTCCTACTTTCATGTCCCCAAGGACCTGATGACCACCATCTCAGTTTACTCAGGCATTCTCAGGGCTTCTATAATTCCCACTTACGTTCTGTCTTCTACACAGTCTCCAGGGATAGGTTTCTAACAGCATTTCAATGTAGTTGTTTACCTAATTAACTTCTGGTTATCCACAGGAGAGTCTGGATTCCTCGGGATAGTTCACAAAGGTTCTTCATAGCCCAACGTTTCTTTCCAGCTCCACTGCTCAACCATTCTGGCTTGTCTTCAAAATTCTTGCTTTCTGTGTGCTGAGCTCTTTCTTTCTCTGGCCCTTTATTCATACTATTACCTTGTTTGTCTGCACGGGAAACTTCTCCTCACCCCTCAGAGCCCCAGATAGAGTTACCAAGGCCCTGGGTTTTACACTTAACACTAAGATGAATGAATGAATGGTGAATAAGCCATTTTGACAATTATAGATATTCTAACTCTTCCACATATACTTATAGTAAAAAAGAGCTTGGGCAGGGGATTTAGCTCAGTGATGCCACTGCCTGCCTCTCAAGCACAAGGATTCAAGTTCGATCCCAGTACCAAAAACGAAAACAAAAAAACAACTACAAAGGGATTTGTCTTCTCTGTTCGGCACACACTACGTATCACAAAATGAAGGTCTACACCATACCTTTGAATCACTTTGGGCATCTCAGCCCTATCAACTATTACCCTTTCCCCAAAAATAAGATCTAATAGGAAAATTATTAACCTTACAAACTAGAGATAAAAATAAATACTAGCACCAGCCAGGCTAAACTTCCCTCCCTGCCATCATTGTTCTCTTCCCTGGTGGCTACTCTGTAAGGCAGGTAAGGCAAGGGTAGGTTGCTTGGGACTGGCCTCTTCTTATCTCTAGTTTTCAAGGCTCACTGTGTTGCAGAACTCCAAGAGACTAGTGAGGCCAAATGGGAATTGGTAGGATTTGCTTAAGGTGAGCACCGGCTCAGAGGACTCATGTCCCAAGGCTGAGTGACTGAACAAAGGAAAGTTCTGGTTTTTATACATATAGTCCATAGGGGGTGGTCTTTCTAGTGACCCAGTATATGAGTTTACCAGAACAGGACAAAGGCATACTGTTTTGTAACTCAGCCTCGAAGGAAGGCAGTGTCTTATAAATGGTATAGGAACACAGCGTCATAAACATAACTATGTACAGGACATAGTTGTTTCCGGAGCATATGGTTCCTCAGGGGTCCCAACACATCATTTATAGGAATCTGACTGTGCGCCCTATCAGTACCACGGGGGTCAGTAGTCATGGGAAGGGGGGGCAGAACCTTCTGGGGAGATGCCAGACTGCTTTCAGCTAGGAGAACTGGTTTCTTTTAAGTTCTGCTTTAATTACTCTTTAGTAAGGTTTATTTTGGGTAAACATGGTAGCTGTGTGAGCTTGGTGAAAACTATTTGAACTCCCTGTGCAGCAGCTTTCTCCTCTGTAAAACTGAGATAACAATATTATTTGCCTGGGTTGTTTGGATGATTGCATCATATAGGTGATACTATAAAGCCTTGAAAATGTGCTTGGTATAGATTATATTCCATGATATTTGTTGTATAAGCGTTTAATACACATTCATTTTATAAAGACCCACTTTCTATGCTTCAGAAGATCTGCTCACACTTCACAACAATGAGCTATGTGAGGGCAGGGAACCTTCTTGCCTATTTTTCCTGCTCAGTGGTAACCATATCTCGAAGGTGCTGAGGAAGGCGACTGATGAAATATTACAGATGGAATGGTATCATGTCTGAGGTTTTCCTCAAAATAGAATCAGAGAAGGAAAGCACGTGAAGGTAGATGGAAAAGATTAGATGGTTTTGCTAATGACGCTGGCGTTTGATTGATACATTGGAATTCATTGCATTATTCTATTTTTATACATATTAGAAATGGTGCCTGATAAAGAGTTCATTAGCAAAGAGGAGGAATAGAACTGTTGAAAAGATTAGGGATTGAAGCAAATAGTCTCCATTTCTGTGAGTTCTCATTTACAATTCATCCTCAGGCCTAATCTTTTGGAAAGGGAGGAAAGCAGGAAGACCAATAACTCAGAAATCTTTGTTATATGAATCTGAAATCTCCCATTTCCCTCCTGTTGAGCCAAAAATTGCACTGTAAGGTGTGTTTGGATTTTTTTTTTTAAACACAACTAGTCAGTAATCTTACCTGAAATGAGATAGCTATCACTCTTAGGCATTTATAAAACTTTTGTTGAGAATTTTTTGGCATACTTGCTCTGAGTTTGCTAGATGTCTTGCAGCATCCCAGGGTGACAGTTGATAAAGCCATTTCAAAAGCCACACATGTCTTGATTTGCATTTTTTGCTGTCTGCTAACGATGTAGCCTCTGGAAGGGCAGTGCTACAAGACTGCCATCTGTCCCCGGAGCTGGCAGCAGGAGACCCTGGGTACTTAATGCTGTCCATCAACTTGGAAAAGGACCACCACACATGTCCAGGTGGGTCCTCGAGTACCAGGCCCTCAGGGGCTGTGAAGGTGGGGGTTCTTCTTATTCTTTTGGAAAGCAGTGTCAATCACTGTGTGCTTAGAAATGAGGTCCTCAGCAGCAGAGGAGGAAATTCACCACATGGTCTTTAGTGTCCAGCATGACAGATACCCTGTATTTCATCCCACCAACAGCTGTCTGGTGGGCACATTCAGTTCCTCGACTGCAAATATGGAAAAAGCTCAGAGTATCGTTCTCTCTTCTAGGCCTGGTTACCTCTCTTCTATGATGGCTACCTCAGCAGTCTGATTTCAGTGCTGCAGTCCTTTCTTGATGGCCACTGCACCACACAGATTTCTAATGCATCTGAGGGAGATGTGGCCCCTCTCCAGCTCCACGGGAGAGAAAAGGAAGTTCAGGCTTTCTGAGTTGGACTCAGTACCACTGGCTTAATTCAACCACAATGGCTTCACTGCCGTTACTTTTTCCTGGGTGCCAATAATGGCCGGCTGTCAGTGTTAGGCGCTGATTGTGCTAGCAATTATACACATGGTGTCACTCAATGCCCATGGCCCAGAAGGAAGAGATGGCTTCACAATCCCTCATTTATCCGTGAAGGGATGGAGGTGCAGAGAGGATGAGTAATTTGCCAAAGGCAGCACAGTGTTTGTCTGGGGATGAACACAGCAACTGGACTTTCACTCCTGCCACCCAACACCCCTGCACATGAGTGGGGACACAGTTAAGTTTACTCTATTGCACTGGCCTTGCTCAGCGGGGTTCAGGTCCTTCCCTCCCTTTACCTAACCTCTCCTTCCATTCCTTCCCTACCAAGCCAGTCAGGGAATGTAAAATGGCAACTTGAGAGGATCTTCAGTTCCGGAAAAGAGAAGTATTTGTGGGAAGTGGGTGTGAACCAGAGCCTGTTGGTCACTCCCGGGAGAGCCTGGGAGTCCCTTGGTATTACGGAGCCTGAGGAGAGGTCACCGAGGGGCAGAGTTGAAGAGCAGTTGCTGATTGTTCTCCACTGGGAGACTTGGGGGGTGGGGCACATGGCAGCTCCTTGAGTCTCCTGGGCACCCTGACAGAGGGAAAGGGCCGGTGTGCCTGAGACACTTTTGTGGCCTGCAGAAACGGCCGTATTTCCCCCACCCTTGTAACACCACAGCCCCCAGAAGGCCAGGCTAAGCTCCTACTTCTCTCTCCCCTTCCTCGGCTGTAAGTATCACTGCTTGGTGTTCTTTTGGGGTGGTTTTGTAGTCAAGAGAGGCTCTGCCATTGTTTAAAGTGTTTCAGTTTTCTTTTGTTTTAAACCTGAAAATCTCTCTCTCTCTCTCTCTCTCTCTCTCTCTCTCTCTCTCTCTCTTTCTCTCTTTCTCTCATCTTCTTCTTCTCTAATGCCCAGATCTGGACGAGAGTGGCACTTTCATCCCAACAGGATCACAATTACTAGGGATGAGGAAGGCAGTGCGGATGATCAGGCCTTCCCAGTCTTTGCCCTCTTGGAATACAAATCTGTGATAATGCCTTCTGAGCAGACCTGCAGCTTATGGAGCCCCAGGAATGTCTGCTCAGGGAGAGGGGCACACCCCAGGGTCCTGCTGTGCAGCCTTGAGTCTCCCCTCACTGAATGGGCCACCAGGCTCAGGGCAGCCTGGCCCTCCCGCTCCTGAAGGCAGTGGCTTCCTCAGCCCAACCTGACTGAGCGTGGTAGTGGGCTGGGAGAGGCCTGGACAACTTCCCTGACCCAAGCCTAACACTGAGGAGGAAGTCCCCAGATGCTGGTGAGTGGTCCCTATCCCTGAACAGGGGACGCAGGGCTTCCTTCCCCTGAGCCCTAGCCTCTGGGTTCCCCAGCCCTGCTCAGCTCCTGCCCCGCGGAAGCCCTTCCTCCTCCCAGGAGAAAATTTTGACCCCAGCTCTTCAGACATCCAGGATCCTGGCTGCCCTACTTGCCAGAAAGATGCCCCCCATCCCCTCTCTTAAGGAGAAAGCAATGTCACTTAATTTGCTCAACTCTAACTTTTCCCAAGGGAGGCATGACTGCTTCAGGAGGAACTCAGGCATTTCCTCTCATTTTATTAATAGAAAACGAGGCCTATTAGGAAAGTGGATCCCTAAACTACTTACCAGCTTCACAACTTTTCAGCTCATTTCACAGTTCTCCAGTTGTACCGAACCTTGTTGGCCTCCTGTCTCTCCTGGAGGGGAGAGAAAATTGTGCAGACCCTGACATTAAGATGCCAAGCAAACACAGGAAAGTCAGAGACAGGATATCTGGGGGCTGAGTTTTAGTTGTTGGTCGGTGTGGCTCCACCTGAGGTTGTCTTACAAGAAATTGCTCTGTTTGCTTGCCTTTGAAGAGTTTCCTTTCTGCAGCCCACAGGAGGAGTCAGAGCCCAGTTACTCCAGGCAATTGCCACCGTTCATCCACCTTTCAGAGACTGAAGAGAAGAAAGCAGGATTATGCTCCAACACCAAAGACAGAAGCTCTGTTGTTCTTAGAGGCTGAGCTGCTTATTTACCAGAGTTCTCCTTTACACTTGGTATTTATGTTGCATCTGTAAGAGATTGAGTGTTGTGGCTTAGATCAAATGACCCAAACTCGCATGTGCTTAGAGTTGGCCCTTTGGAAGGCGATTGGACCACCAGGCCATTCAGCTGACCTGCAGTTGGGAAGTGGTCCACACGGGGGCGATCTAGAAGGGCACGTCTTCCTCACAGCTCCTGCCTCCTGTCCCTGCTTCAAGGCCACCGCCACGACAGCAGCTTTCCTTCCCATGCCTTTCCACTCTCACCTTCTGCCCCTGCCAGCCAACCACAGACTGAAAACGTGAACCAAAATAAGCTGTGGGTACTGGGGATTTTGTCTTAGCAATGTGAAAGTGATTCAGACTTTAAGGAACTTGCTAAAAAGCACAAAGTGAGTAATTAACAGAGCAGAGAACTAAGCTGGGTTCCATCTTAATTTCTACACAATAGTGGGTGGGTGCACATCACCATGGCAACAATTATGCTGATGATGTCATGCAAGTAGTTCCGGAAACACAAAGGCGGTTGCTGCTTACTCTTCCTGGTGGTATTAAAGCACACTTCCCAGAGGAAAGACTGTGTGTGTGGCTGGTCATCTAGCTGAGGAATGCGGAGACAAGTCCTGTGCACAGGAGTGGGACAGAAAGCATCAGGTCAGACAACACTGCACATCCGGAGGCCCAGTGTGACCAGGAGAAGTGAAACTGTGCTCTTGGGGTGTGGGGAAAAGTAGGAAAAAGGAAAAAGGAGGAAGTGAGATCGTCATCACCTTAGCCAAGAACACAGCACACATATAGTGTCCAGCAGGACATTTTCAGGGGGAAACTTTTAAATGAAAGGACATGCAAAAATGCCACCACCTGGAGCCTTGTAAGAGCTCTGGTCTTTGATATTCATTTGATACCGATTGTGTGGGTGGTTTCTGTAATTGAGTGGGATCTTTTCTCATCTCTGTAGATTGACAGAAGACCATGATGGTATGCTTTAGAAGGCAAAATCAGGAACTGGAAATTTCTAGCCACAGTCTTGTATTCGTGGCACGTTGGCCATAAGGGGCCAGGCCTGTTCATCACTGCATGATTGGACCTCTGCACTGAGGTGTTCTCCTGCTGCCCAGTGGTGCTGCTGCTGGCTGGTGCCTCCACGACCACCCACCTGCAGCTCTCACACAGCCCCTCACTTCTCTGCAGTGACTCCACTTAGCAGGGACTCATTTCAAACCAGCATTTCATCTGAAGAACGGCAGAATTTACAATGCCTTGGTAAAGAAATGAAAATTTACTTTCCATGCTCTTTTCCATAATATCTTGACCCCAGCCATCCACACCCAGGTCCCTACTTCCAAAACTGGAGAAGTTTGTGGAATGAAAGAGCAGGCCACCTATGGAAGACAGCTGAGAATGAAGCGTTCTTCAAAGTCCTGTTCCAAGGCTTCCTTCGGTTCCTTTCTGTATCCCTTCTGAGATCCACTTCTCCAGATGTGCAGAAAGAAATCCCATCCATTCGTTAGTATCTTAGAAACTAGTTTTCCAAGCATAGTATGGGACTCTGCGTGTAGGCACAGCAGTGCTGACGAGGATCACACAGAGCACCCACTTCCCCAACCCGGACACCTGGGGACCCCACTGCTTGCTACGGAGCCTGTGCTCTCTCTCTGCTCGGCCCCGCACAGTCTCTCAGGCCTGGGCTGGGCTCCTGGAGCAGGGCTTCCTCCCTTTCACATACTGTTCATCCATCATTGCTGTTTCCCCCTTACATTTTGGAATGGAGATAATATAAAATAAGAAATGTACAAAAGGCATGTATACTTCACATCATAATTATGCAGGAACACCTGGGAACTGCCACACAGCTCACGGATTGGATGTGTGCAAGACCCCAGCACACTGTCTCTGTCCTCACTTGTATAAAACCCTCCACTCTCCCTGGACAGAGTCCAGGGTCCTGACCTTTTCAGTAACCTCACCTCCTGCTTTTCCTTTACACAGAGGCACTTCATACACAGCCCCGAATGGGGGAGATGAATTCTGTTCTGAGCTCTGAGTGCATCTAATCATGGGACTTGCATCCTTGCATGTCGGGCTCGACACCCTGGTGTGAAACTCGCTGGTGTGATTACCTGTTTCTGTGATTCAGTCATTTTTATCACTCTGTACAAAGACTATTTCTACTTTCCTGCTGTCCTGCTCACTTTGGCAGCAGCATATTCATCTTCCTAGGCGCTGGAAGATTTGCCCTTGGTTTAGAGTGCTGTTGACCTTTGGTTGATTCTCATGTCACCTTTCCCTGCTGCAGGATAATTTTGTTACGAAAATTCTCAGACATGCACAGATTTGCAAGAATGGCTCCACACCTCCCCCTTCCACTCCCAGTTCCACCAGTTGTCAACTTACTGCCAAACCTAAAGCATTTGTATCCCCAGCTGTCCAAAGAGAGCCCAAAGTTCATATTTTTATTCATAAATATTTAATATTTTCCTCAAGACCTTAAGGACTCTTTAAAAATACAATGTGGATATCAAAATCATATATGTGAAAAAACTAAAATATACTAAAAATGAGCAGATATTCAAAGTTTATTGGTATTTGAACATATTTCTACATTTTTAATTTGTTTCAGCAAAATGAGATGCATAAACTCACTGCCTAAGTGCGGTGAAATTGCATGTATTTCTCTTGGGTAGTTTTCATCTGTAAATTCCTATCCAATTTCATTTCTTCTGTTTGTCTTACTCTCTTTATCTTTCTTCCAATTTTGATCTCTATCTTTTCAGTTTAAAAATTAAATTTATTTTAAAATAATACACAGAACATAAAATTATATGTATTATAATATAATTTTGATGCGTCTATTCATTTTATGCTTAAGTCAAGTTAAACGTATCTATCTCCTAGCATTTGTAATTTCTTTATGGTAGAAACTTTCAAAATCCTTTCTTCTAAATTTTCCAAATGTCTTTATTATCTAGAGCTGCCCTTCTGCACAACAGCAGAATAGAACTTGTTGCAAATATCTCTGTGAACTTAATACCCATGATGCACCTGTCTCCATTCTCATAATGTTCTCTTGTTCATCCATGTCATCACAAACTACAGGGTTGCAGAGCTGCATTATTTTCACAGCTTAATAGTAATCCATTGTGTAATACATACCACATTTCCTTCATCCATTCATCTGTTGATGGGCACTTTGGTTGTTCCCATTTCTTGTTACTGTGAATAAGGTTGTAAGGACCATTATATTTCAGGTGTCTCCTTGACATACTGATTTCATGTCCTTTGTATATACAGCACTAATGAGCCTGCCAACCTTATAATAGTTTGAGTTTTTAATCTTTTGAGGAATCTCCATATTGTTTTCCATAATGGCTGTTTTAGTTTATATTCCCACAAACAGAGTGCAAAGTTTGCAGTTTCTGCAAATCTTTACCAGCATTTGTTACCTCTTTAGGTTTTTGGATAACAGCCATTCTTATTGGAGTGAGATGATATCGCCTTGTGTTTTGGGTTTGTATTTCCCTGGTGATTAGTAACAGTGAGCATTATTTTGTGTACCTGTTAGTCATTTTTATTTATTCTTTTCAGAAATATCTATTTACAGTTACAGCCTGTTGTTAAGTCAGTTTCCTTGGATTTGGGGGGCAATTGAGAGTTTGTAATTCCTTATGCATATTTGGTATCAATCCCTTATCAGATGGATTGCAAATATACTCCCCTGTTCTATGTTTCTTCACTCTGCAGATGGCTTCATGTGCTATTCAGAAGCTTTTTAGTTCAATGTAACTCCATTTGTCTAAATTTACTTTTGTTTTTATGCTTTTGGAGATTTCTGTTGTTTTCTCCTCTCTCTGCTTCCTCCTCCTGCATAGGGAATCACTTTTTAAGTTTTTTTCATTTTCTTCTAAGTATGATAAGGTACGTGTATATATTATGTGTATGTATTCTCTCACCTTTCTTAGGTAAGTGATGGTTTACTACACATTTTTCTGTTCTTGGTGTTGTTGGTTTTTTTTTTTTTTTTCACTTAACAACAAATCATGCCAAAAATATTATACAAATGATAAGGGAGCTTGCAACTTAGTGACTGGCTCTTCTCACTTAGAATATTGTTTTGGAGATTCATCCACATCATTGATTGTATAAATAGGTGCTTTGTTTTTGTTTTTTTGGGGGGGGTCATAAACATACTGTAGTTTCTTAAACCATTCATCTTATGAAGAACATCTGGATTACTCTAGTTTACGGCTCTTATAAATAAAATTTCTGTGCATTCATACACAGGTTTATGTGAATAGAATTATTAATTTCTCCATGAAAAACACCCAGATATATATGTGTTGAGTTGCACTATATTGTGTGTTAATTTTTTTTTTTTTTGTAACAGGGATTGAACTCATGACCTTGTGTTTGTGAGATAGGTGGAGGAACCACTGAGCTAAATTCCAGTCCTAATGTGTGTTACTTTTTAAGGAAACTTTCAAGTTGTTTCTCAGACTGGTTGTTAACAGTTTAGGTTCCCACCAGCAATGCATGAGTAATACAGTGTATCTGCAACATTTCCAGGATTTGGTGTGGTCACAATGTTTTATCTTAGATATCCCACAAGGTGTGTCACCATACTTTGTCCTGGTTAGAACTGACATTTTCTTAGTGGCTAGTCACAATGTGCTTGTCCTCAACCTCTGTACCCTTTTCAATGAAATGTCTCTGTATGTCTATTTAAACTGTTTGATGTTTTCAAATTATTGAGTTTTTAGAATCTTCACAAAACTCCAGTTCATCAGAGCCTTAGAAAATCTTTCCGTGATCACCCGCTACTACCTGTCAGTTGCTGTCAATTGTATCCCTCTGCTCTTTTTCTTCACAGTGGTCCCTCTTGTCAGGAAACACCTTTTAATCTATTTATTCATTTGATATTTTGTGTCTCCACACTTCCCACTCAAACTTAAGTTCTATGCAAACAAATTTTACCCTCTTTTAAAATGTAATATACCTGGCACTCAGACTAATACCCAACACCACCAGAAACTTATTAAATATTTAATGAATAAAAGAAAAAAACCTATCTGCTATTTATTAGTTATTCTTTCTGAGAAAGGCACATACCTCCCCTAATGATGAATGTACCCCGCCCAGCACATGGTCTGCACACAGTGTGTGCTCAAGTACTGCTGGCTCCCCTCTCTTATTTTATTTCTGTACCACATCAAGTGAAAATGTATTTCATTCAAAGCATGCTTCGTAAAGTTACCAAAACAGTGCAATATAGGTTTTCATTTATCTTGTGTAAATACACAGGAGTGGAATTGATGGGTAGCTGCATATTTTTACATTTTCAAAAGATTGCTAAATAATTTTCTAAACTGATGGTGTC